GCTATGGCTCGTACAGGTACCAATATCAGCGAATCAGCCCGGCTATCTCCCGAGTCCCTGACCAGGGCAAACAGTCAGCCGATCTTGAGCGGCGGCAATCCCATTGCCTAGGTGGTTCAAACTCACATTTTCCACCCTCCTTCCTCTGACCTCGCTTCCTCTCAATCTCAAAACTACATGGTTGGTTGGTTGTACCATCCCATGCACCGCACCCTAAAAGAGAATCTTTAGACAAAAGTGCTCTTTCTGCGTTAAATCATTTTCAAGCTATACCGCGGCCCTATTCTCGCAATAATCGACTATTTGCAAGCATATACCGCAACTGCTTGTTGAACTGCATTGTTCATGGCGTTAGGTGATCTTCCAAGATCGCAGGCCGGATGTCTGAACTGTTTATGCTTTTCTATCTCATATCCTCGTCATCCCGCCCTCCTCGTTTCCATCCTCACCTACCTCAGATTTGTTTTCAGTCGAATATATCCGGCACACTGCACGAGAGAGACTATGAAGTCTCTTGCTTAGACTGCTTGTATTTTATTGGTGAAAGGCTATCGGTGTCAACGGCGTTTCTGGGACGATTTGGACTTCTGTTTTTTTTCCGAGCCTCCTCTTGTTCTGGTCCCTGGGATATATCCCTGGATACATTGATACCTCGTTCTGCTTGGTTTGTCTTGTTTCCTTTATACCTCCCCCACACTCTAATGACCACTTGATGACGATCTGATGCATGCCGAGATATCATTGATTCGAGCCATCGTTACAGGATTGTATAACCTTTGTTGTTTTGGGCGGACTCTTCATTCTCACTTCGCTTTCGGTTTCCGGCAAGGCTTGACGAATTTTCGGACTTAATGCATGAGACGTTGTGACGAGTCATCTTTCTGTTCTGCAGATACCTGAATGCAATGCGCGTTGAGGCGCTATGGCATCCATGGGCCGGAGAGAGTAAGGAGTAGCTGTAGCCTCTGCTGCCCAAGCTTTATATTGTGGGCCGAAAGTCTAAGCTGGGGAAGACGAGGAATCGGGTTCAGGTGAGTCTCCCTGCAGTTGAGGCCCCTGCGTCATTGCGAGCGCCCTCAGCGCCAGTTGTCAGAGTATGTAGTTGTGAATAGATGAATCCATCCATTGATAAGAGAGATCGAATCGGCCTCCTGATAAGAGGGTATACATCAGCCAGGACTACTAGTAGTAGTAGTACTAGTACTAGGTAGTAGTTGGGCACTGGTGTTCCAGGTTTCTGGCTCAACTGCGGCCGGTATTCTTCAGTAAAAATACGTCTATCGTTATTTATAGCCTCTGACCGCTTTGTGGCACAGCCAATAACCAAATATAACCAGGCACCAAGCGCTGAGTGGGTAAAGTTAGCTGTACTGGCAATACACGAGGGTCGCGGTTTGTTGTCTCCGTCTGGTTTTCTTCCGGTCAAGTTTTTCTCAGCTGAAATCATCCATTCAAATCTCCTCCAACCAGGCAAAAGCTGCTCTCCTGTTGCTTCGGTCGCGTTTTCTGGTGAGCAGCTCCGATCTCCTCAACCAACATCGCCTTGCTGGGTCTGATTTCATTTCTTCGGTAGAATAGCTCACTGTGCAGTCTGTACAACCTGCTCCTCCAGCTCGCTCCATCCCAACGTGCTCGGTCGGCAAACAGATCCCTTGATTGCCATCCATCATCCCCTTTCACTTGCCTGTACTTCTCTCCTCCTCCACTGCCCTCGCGCCACCAGGATCTTTTCCCTAAACAAGTTTGCCTCAGGAGCTCTTCTTGATCTATCTCTGCTTGACTTCATCTCGCGTCGTCTCCCACCGTCATCTCCTCAACATAACCTCTCTCCGCCGCTTCGTGCCGCTTTTTTCTCGCTCCCTTTCCCCCCCACGCCGGACTGAATCGTCTCTTGCCAGTCGGTGCCTCTCCGGAGCCGCATCACACCTCGCTATCAACGCGCTTTCGTCGTCGACTCTCGTGTCTTGGTATCTGAATTATCGCATCTCGCACAGCGCTCGACTTCCTCACCAGCCTATCCCTCGTCCTCGCCTCTCCTAGGCCGTTCGGCCTCCTCCCTCCCGCTTGAGCTCGACAACAGATCCAGATCGTGTTTGGTAAGCGAAACCTTCGCCCCTCTCTCCCTATCGCTATCTCCCATTAGCCGTCAATGAAAATTTCATGGGCGCATTGTGCACGCGTCTCCCGGCCTATATCGCAATTTTCGCCTCGCTATCTGATGTTATTGTGCTCTCAAAAGACATTTCTAACCTGCTCTCCTTGTTGTGACAGTCTGTAGGCGCCGCGTCATCCATCGTACTTCACCAACCGATCCGTTAGCCACCCTTTCGACTTCCTTTTCTCGTCGCCGGACGTCTGTTTAATTAATCTCTTTTCTCTTTTCTTTTCCCTGTTCTTTGCTTTTCTCTGTTTTTTTCTTCGCATCCGTCTCTCGTTGGGTTTGATACACCATGGCCGATCAAGACGTGGATCTGGACTCTATCATTGACAGACTGCTGGAGGTGAGGGGCAGCCGGCCTGGAAAGCAGGTCCAGCTTCTGGAATCGGAGATTCGCTACCTTTGCACCAAGGCGAGGGAGATCTTTATCTCTCAACCTATCCTGCTTGAGTTGGAAGCACCCATCAAGGTAATGATGCTCCGCTCATCCGCTGCCTATATCCGAGGTCTTGCCACGGAATCTGACAACACCGCGATAACAGATTTGCGGTGATATTCACGGTCAATACTACGATCTACTTCGTCTTTTCGAATACGGTGGCTTCCCCCCGGAGGCTAACTACCTTTTCCTCGGCGACTATGTCGACCGTGGTAAGCAATCGCTCGAGACCATCTGTCTCCTCCTTGCATACAAGATCAAATACCCCGAGAACTTTTTCGTCCTCCGTGGCAACCACGAATGCGCGTCCATCAACCGTATTTACGGTTTCTACGATGAGTGCAAGCGAAGGTATAACATTAAGTTGTGGAAGACTTTTACAGATTGCTTCAACTGCCTACCCATCGCCGCTATTATTGACGAGAAGATCTTCACCATGCACGGTGGTCTGAGCCCTGATCTTAACTCCATGGAGCAGATTCGCCGTGTCATGCGTCCTACTGATGTAAGTCCCAGATTTGCTTCTTCCTTCCTTCCCCTCTCTTGGCTTCCGGACAAACAAAGAGAATGCCTCCCCTGTCGGATTTTTGAAGCCCGTTACACACACAATCATCATTCTGCCGGGCTCCGCAAAGCTCAAGGCTTTGATATGCTGACCGCTATAGATCCCCGATTGTGGCCTTTTGTGCGACCTTCTGTGGTCCGACCCGGATAAAGATATCACTGGCTGGAGCGAAAATGACCGAGGTGTTTCGTTCACTTTCGGACCGGACGTCGTCTCGCGATTCCTACAGAAGCATGATATGGACTTGATATGCCGTGCACACCAAGTTGTTGAAGACGGCTACGAGTTCTTTTCGAAGCGACAGTTGGTTACGCTATTCAGTGCGCCGAACTACTGCGGAGAGTTCGATAATGCTGGTGCGATGATGAGTGTGGATGAGAGTTTATTGTGCTCTTTCCAGGTATGTTCTTTTACAAGAAACGCAGCGCCAATCGAAAGTGACTAACATCTTCTTTCCCTTGTAGATTCTGAAACCGGCAGAGAAGAAACAAAAGTACGTTTACGGGGGCATGAGCTCAGGCCGACCCATCACTCCTCCGCGAAAGCAAAAGAAGAAGTAAGCATACGAGCTTTTCCATGTGCAGCAGGTTCGGGCGGAGATAGAAACGTCATATATCCACGATATGTCAATACGCGAGAGACTCAACCTCCCACGACATCGATGTCCTTTGCGTTAGACGGTCGAAAGTAACGAACCGATTCGACCTCTCGAGAGAACTACACGACATGCAGAGAATTCGCCACCATTTCCTCGCCGCATTCCAAGCTCCAACGACTCCGACATGACTTGTTTGCGCTGAATATGTTCTATTTCTATACGGAAGGTACTTTGTGCTCCCAGGAGGGTTTGGTGTTTTTCCCTCTACCTTTTTTTTCCCTCACCTCTAACCTACTCTTCTTCGCCTTCTGTTCATTTCTTTCGCTCTCGTTCCATATTCTCGACCTTATTTTACGTCGTGTTTATCTGAATTCGTTTGGCAGAGGGAGGGAAAGCGACGGTTGCATCTGGTGTTCTCCATGTTGTTTTTCTGTGCTTTGCCTCTGTTTTCGCCCTGTTCCGCCTCTTTTTCCTTCCGCTTCCGCTTCAAAATCCTCCTGTGAGTGTAATGCCAAACAGATAAGCAACGACACAAGCCTCTCGTGTGTCTTTGGAATGTGTACCAAGATTTTATACCGCGCTTAATCTCGCTCTATGTTCGCCCTCGGCCCGGTCATGATACGGTGGTTACTTTCGGTAGCTGCTCACGCGACAATACTTATACGAACTTTTCCTCGGCATATCAGACCTTTCCTCCTCATGGTCCAGTCTAGCATATCTAATAACATTGTTGTTTCATTGCTGTTCTAAAAGCCCGTTTATTTTGATCCCCTGTCCGTCTGAGGTAGTGTCACTATGCCACTTGCGTCGTGGTTGAACATCATCCTCCCCCTTCTGAGTCCTCCCCACTTCTACTAGTAAATACACGCTTTAAGGGGAAACAACTAGCCAAACGAACATTGTGGTCAGTTTAAATTCTCAAACGGTGGAGGCGTGTCCCACTGTGTTCAGACTGCCCATGAATCTCCATTTAATAAACAGAGACATAAATATATGGAGAAATAAACAAACCATAGCAACTTCCTGTTCAGTACCTGTCCTCGCTCTGCCCTGGCCATATCGCTGCTCCCAAAAGCAGCGTTGCATTATTAAGGGAGCAATCAACTTCCACCATGTGCTGCACTCGCCACTATTCATCCAGCCCCGTCGATCATCATATGTAACTCGGTACATTAAAGCTTAATGTTTCTTCTGGTGTCTTTGGCTGATAAAGCACTATTCTTAAACTAATCATAACAATTCCTCGATGGTCTAACGGTTCATGATTTCCGCTTGTCAGATCCGTTCTACGATCACAAGCGCGGGAGACCTGGGTTCGACTCCCAGTCGGGGAGATTTCTTTTTTTTTTTGCCCCGTCCGCACCCACAGTCCCACACCACATCCTCGCTATGTTTGTTTTTGTTTCTTTATTTTCCCCGCTAGGTAGGTGGTAGAGTGCGTGTTGTTCTTCTTTTGCTGGATAGTTATAGCAACTACATGGGTATGTCGCGAATGGCAACCTTAATTGCGCGATTGAATCTACTACGCGGCCTGAAAAGTTATCACTGCGGGGAAAGAGAGGCCGGGAGCATTTGTCTTGATTGTTTCTGGAAAGATTCTGCTTGGCAACGGGACACGGATGTTGGTAATGTAATTGGAATTTGTATTGAGATTGATCATATCTGGATGTTATAAAACGAGCTCATGGGTATGGGTGGCTGGAAGGATCGAGTGGACATCGTGAGTTGTGGGAGGTTGACGAGAGACAAAATAGGTGATATATCCCCCGTCATGGTGACGATGGTAGGACGGTATAGAGAATTCGGCGGGGAGCTAGTTTAGACATATTGAGACAGCCACCTGATACCCTCGCCGTATCCTGGATGATTAATGTTAGCAGAGCATTCACCACAGGCATGCACAGACCATTTCTCTGGAGAAGAGAGAGAAGAATGGGAAAACTCACCCTGCCTCATAACAACACTGCACATAAAGACCTCAATAGGCCGGATGCCCTCGAGGGGCACCTTGCCCTTACCCGTCGTCTGGTACAAGCCAAGCTGGTGTCGGAGCTCGTCCTCGCTGACGGCATCGGGGTGGTCGATCTTGTTTCCGAGGACCAGGAAGGGGACCTTGGAGAGCTCCTCCATGGCTAGGAGGGCATCGAGTTCGGCCTTGGACTCGGGGAAGCGCTCAATGTCCTTGGCGTCGACGAGGAAGACGATGCCGCTAACTTCGGGGAAGTAGTCCTTCCACAGACGTCGGGCTGGTTGCGGGAATAAGTTGTGGGACTCATTGGTTGTTTATGAGGATGTTGTAGGAGACTCACCTTGCTGGTGACCACCAAGGTCGAAGGTCGTGAAGCGGTTGTTTCCGATGACGAGTTCCTCCGATGCTATGCGGTTCGATCAGCCTTCATCTCCTTTTGTCCCTATATGCACCTCCATAATATCGATACCGGAGCTAGGTTTACGTACTGGGATGAGCGGTAGGTTGAAGGATAGCGACTCGGTCGTTCTAGAAGTCGGTATTGTTAGCTTTTGTACCTCGTCCTCACCCACCGTCCCCGCCTCGTATTCGGCTCCAGAACAAGAAGCACCACGGAGAGGCCAGAGGTACTGTTTCAACATACCTTCAACATGTGCAGAAGAGTCGTCTTTCCGGCATTATCGAGTCCCAGAAACAGGAGCTTGGCATGCTTGTTGAGCAGGCCAAGTGACGACAAAAGGTCGTAGACTAATTCAAGAAATCAAGAAGCCATCAGTAACCGAGTAAACAACCTGGTTACACGCAAAAAAAGCAAGGCGTAAATGGAGGATGGAAGTTTGCGGTGAGTGCAGGGTTGGGGTCAGGCCAGGTTTCGACACGAGGAGTGAAAGATAAGCTCAAAAACACGGATTTACTTACACCAGTTGATAATCCACATGGTGCAATCGATTCAGACCTCGGCGAAGAGCTCTGCAAAATGCTTAAATGAGAGAAAGCGACGGGTTGGAGTTGTCTGGGATTGGGCTGGCAGGCGAAAAGGCGAAAAGGCGAGATTGCGGTGGCCAGACAAGGTGACGTTGAGAGACTGGCCTGCTTTTGGCGCCTTAGCCGAGCGTCTAACCCAACCCAGCCGCGGCAGGTCAGCCACATTTCAGCTTCAGATCTACTCAAGACAGGCCAGAGAGCAAAATCTTGTAGATGGTGATTTTTCATTCTTTATTTGTTTCAGCTCTCAAGCTATGCATCCAGGTTCTAGTACAATCTCAAAACCAAAGCAAGGGGTATACTACTCCGTATGAACCGCCCTCATGCAAAATGCCCAGCAAACCCAGGAGACAAGTCGTACACTAAAAGCGGTAATGGTAAAAATGGAAAGAAGGCACAAATATGTATGAAGAAAGAAAAGGCGACCGCCGTGTAAATGCAGACACAAGGCCTTCCCAAAGCCAAAAGGAGAAAGGAGGAAAGTAAGGTAAGGGAAAGAAAGACGTAGGGCACGTTAATAGATGCAGGGTGAAGGAGGCTTTGTGTGACAAAAAAATCTTGTCACAAACCATCCAAGTATATACAAGAAGGTGTAGATAGATTTTATCCTTCCCAGGAACAAGGTGTTTAAACGGAGAGGACGAGCTGAGAGCTTTCGCCGACGCCAAAAGCCCTGGTCCTCTCAGCAACTTCGAGGCCAAGCTCCTTCATGCGTTCAGCACCTTTTCCAGGGACAGGGCGCCGCTCCATCTGCTCCTTGGCAGCTTTGCGGCAGTGTTGGCGCCAGAACTTTTCTTTGCGTTTCTGGCGCTTCTTTTCGAGACCCTCGACGATATCGATGGGGCCTCGTGTATGAATTTCACGAGTACGAGATGATTCGCGTTCGTGGGATTCTTGAATTGGGAGGATGCCCGACCAACGGTACGAGTTCTCCATGGTGAAGAAGGGGTTGGGAGTACGAGGCAACGACTTGGTACGAGTGAGGACGGGTCGCTGAACTAGCTCGCTGATGTTGAGCCCGTGACGCAAATTAGGGGCGCCATCAACAACTCTGTCCTCCTTGGCGGACGACTTGAGCTTCATTGGAGGTGGCGGCGAACGAAGACGTCTGGGCGAGGCTTTGCCATTTCGGCGAGTCGGCGGGGGCGGAGATACCATGCGCTTAGGAGAGGGGCGAGGGGAAACTTTGCGGGATTGTTCCCCGCCTGAGCGTCCTCGGGGGCCTTCGTCGAGCAAGAGAGATGCCCTCACTTCCTCATCCTCACCATCATCATCCTCAATATCCGAAGTAGGGAAGCTAGGATCAATGTCCTGAGGGATGACAACCTGCTTGGAAAGGCGACGCTGCTCCAGGCAAGACTTGTACGCAGCCTCCAAAGGTCGGTCCTCGTCCAATGTGCCACATACGAAGTCGGTACTGTCAGGCAGGTCCGGAGTACCAGGACGCATCTTCGGAATCCTAATTGGCCGGCCGACACTCTTTCCAGCAAGAGCTGGAGGCCAGTTTCGGCGCGGGTGATCCTCGTTCATCGAGTCGAAGGACATCGCAGAATCTCGTCGGGTGAAGGCGAATCGAGGAGCCTCCAGGGGACTGGTGGCTGCAGTAGTAGTGCCAGGTGCCCAGAATTCGTACTCAGAGCCCTCGTCGCTTTCGTCAGAATCGGCAAAGCCAGCCTCGTTGTCAGACTCGTTCCCGTCATCCTCGTCGGAAGAAAAATCGTGTACGGTAGAAGAATCATCGGGAAGGTCAACGTCATCCTCATCCTCGTCAGAAGCTTCTTCATCTGCCTCCTCAGCGAGTTTCCTGATGGCGTTTTCCTTCTTCATGCAGTCGCTGAGTGTAATCTTTTCTTTGTACTCGCCGGTCTTGGTAACCCATTCGGCGTCCTCCTCAAAGGAGCTTGCAAACTCATGGAATCGCGTGGCTTCGGAATCTTCGAATTTTCCCAGTCCTCGTGTCGGGACACCCCTTGTCGCATCCCCAGCCTTCATTTCCTGCGGGGCGGGTTTCGGCTCCGCGACAGGTATCTTCTCAGGAGAGGCCTTGCGCGCAAAGGGGGCGGGCGATCCACGAGGGCGAGCCCGCAAGGAACATCCGCGAGCAGGAGATCGCTCCCTTCGAGACTCAGGATCCCTTGCAGGACACACAAACGTGAGAGTTGTCTTGCGCTTGGGAGTCGGCTCATTGTCTTCAGACGGGGGCTGAGATTTTTGTGTTGAGGGTGGTGGCGGTTTCTGGTCGTCACTTTTGCGTCCGCAGGCAAAGCTGATACACCTTTTGCGGCCGAGGTTTGCTTCGACGGTTGACTCACCACTACCGGTGCCTGATTCCTTGCCGGCGTTGCCTGTCACGGTAGGTTTGCTAGTCAACCGAGAGGGGAGTGGCGGACTAGAGGTGTGAGATAATGATGGGCTTGTAAGGCCACCATCGCTGGTCAACTCGGCTGTTGAGATGCCGCTGATGTTGCCGTAGGAGTATGAACGGTAGAAGGTCTGCTCGTGGGAGGAGGTATGTTGGTCGGTAGGATCGAGAACAGGGCTGCTCCTAAGAGCACGGGTAAGGAGGGATTCCTTTCGGTCTGTCATGTTGGCCGTGGATTTCACGTAGACAACGCCGTCGTCCATGGCCACAGGCGAGGTGCTGAGGAAATGCTCATCAGGAGGTTCGTCCATGTCCTCAGCCATCTCGTTCGTTTGGTCCGTAGGCTTGGACTGATGTGACGAGAGTAGCATCTTCAAGAGATGGTGTACTGAGAAAGGTCGTTCGCTGCGGAGGAAATGCACCATTGTTTTCGACGTTCAGAGAAGATCATCGGGAAGTGGGAGCGCGGTCCAGATAGGTGAATGTCGGGGTCGAAGCTTGGTAGTGAGGGTGAAGTGACTCGATGGGCGGGTAGGTAGTAGTAGGTAGCAGCGGGAGAGCAACTCTCGGTATGGTCGACAGTGCTAATTGACTGAAGGGTCATAAGAAGTGAGGTCCAGATGAGGACGGAAGGATCATAATATAAAACGCATCATGAGCGGAGGTGCAGGTAAAATATGCGTAGGTATATGAAAATAGGTGAGAGAGTAGGACGGGGCGGATGCAGCCAAGAACAAAAGGAATTCCACGCCTTCTTCAAAAGGTGGCAGCTCAAGGAGCGCCAGAAGAAGACGCGCCTTGTGCGAGGAGAAGCAGGGAGTGAGTTGGCAGTGAAGAAGATCGGGTTCGATGGAGAGCAGGAATGCAGAGAAGAAGATCGGAAAATCGAAAAAGTAATAAGGGACTAAACTCGTTGCAGTGGGAGGGGGGTTGTCGCTGGTGGTGTGGGTTTATGCAAAGCTAAAATATTAAAATAAAAATTCCCAGAACGATTATTATTATTTCTGATTTTTAATGGT